TCCCAAGCCAACTCTTAACCAACACGCCACACAGCCGGCCCAATATTTACTTACTTTTGCAATGTTTTCTCCTCTATTGATGCCACTCAGTCAAATTTTTATTTCAGATAATGTATGTTTTATTTAGATGTTCCATTTGATTCAGTTTTTATAACTTACATTTACTCCTTATTATGTTTATCTCTTTGAACATTTATAATATTTATATTAGAAGGTTAAAGATTCTTATCTGCTAATTTCAATGTCTCTGTCATATTTGGGTCCCTTTCTACTGATTTTTATCTTGGTTATATATCACATATTCATGTTTTTATGATTGGTAACTTTTGATTGAGTGATGAATATTGTGTATTTTACATTGTAGAGTACTGGATTTTGTTGTCTTCACTTAAAAATTTTAAAGTTTATTCTGATAGGCAGTTAAGGTACTTGAAGATCACCTTGATTATTTAAAATGTTGTCAAAGTCCAGAAAGCATTACTCTAGGGTTAATTTAGCACAACTACTAATATATGGTCCTTCTGAGGGTTATGATGAATGTACCATGTATTGAGCATGTCTGGTGAGAGAGCTAATGGTTCCAAACCTTGTGTGAGCTCTGGGAATTGTGGCTTACAGCTCTTTGGTAATTGTTTCATTTTTATCCATGACAGTTTTTCTTTGTCTGGCCTATGGATTTCACCATTGCATGAGCAGATTGTCATTCACCTAAACAGCACTCTTTGAGTGCTTCTGCCAATTTCTGGAGCTTTTTCTTTATGCAGCTTCCTCCTCTCCGTACTGTGTTTAACATATTCTACCCTCTTTGTCTTTTCCTTACTCTAATTTCTCTGTCCCTTCAACTGAGTAAGATACCTGGTCCCTGTATGGTTTCCCCTTCATTGTGTTTTGGTCTGGAAACTGCGTTAGGCAGAAATCTGGGGTGATTTGGTCTTAACCTTTTTTGTATCCATTTCCTCAGTCATCATAGTCTTGCACTGCCTGTTGTCCAATTATAAAAGAGTTGTTCTAATATTTTGTTCAGTTTTATAGTTATTTATGACAAGAGGGTAGAGTAGAAGCCAGTAGCCTCAGTTGCATTTTTTTTTCAATGAAGCAAAGAAAAGGTAGAAAAGCAGAGTTTTAAAGCACAATGAATGTTCATATCTTACTATTGACGTTATTAAAAGGCTAAAGGAGTAAGGGGCCTTAAAAAATCATGTTGTCAAATATGCATTCTAAGGATGATTAACCTGAGGTAGGAAGCAAAATAACTTGCCTGTGGATGCCTGGACTGTGATTTACAGTCTGGTCAGAAGCTGGGTCTCTTTGTTCCTATTCATTGTTAGACATGGTGGTATGTTATCTTCTTACCACTTCAACTGAGTAGAGTATATAATAGCAATTAGCATTAGTAATGATAAAAATGACACTAACAGTTATACCTATTAACATTTAAATATATTCATATTCTTTTTTTTTTTTAAATATTTTATTGGGGAATTGGGGAAGGGGAACAGGTTGGGGAATTAGGGAAGGGGAACAGACAAGTTGTTGCCCTTCAGTCTTAGTTGCGGAGGGCGCAGCTAGCTCAGCTCCAAGTCCAGTCACCATCCGGCAGCCCAGTGGCAGCTCGCCACCGCTCAGCTCAAGGCGCCATGTTCAGTCTTAGTTGCAGGTGGGCGTAGCCCACCATCCCATGCAGGAGTTGAACCAGGAAACTTGTTGTTAGGAGCACATGTTCTCACTAGCTGAGCCACCTTGCTACCTGTTGACAGCTCAGCGGCAGCTCAGCTCAGGTGCAGATCACTGGCCCATGTGGGAATTGACCCAGTGACCCTGTCATTCAGAGCTCACGCTCTTAACCAACTGAGCCGCTCGGCTGGCCCTCATATTCTTTCTTGCTCCTGGTTAGATTAAATTTTAGTTTTGATTTTATCTTTCTTGTGCAGCCGTTTAATAGCAGTGTTTTACAGTATCTGATTTAATGTTACCTAATTGTCTTATTAACCTGATGATATATTTATAGAGATCAATAATTTAAAAAGCCACAAAATTGGAATAATAGACAAAATATTTTTATCACATCTTTTGTGTTTCTCATTCCATGCATAATATTGACTTGCTTATATTTCCCTTTTAAATAGTCCTCATTTATTGCATTATATTGATTAGCATTTTATTGCTTTGGATAATATGCCTCAATGATTTTTAAAATTGGCATTATTTTAATTGTTTCTTTTTTTTTTCCTTTAAGGATATTTCTTTAATTGGAAAAATGTACTGGCAGAAAACATCTGAAGTGCAAACAGAGCAAGGATTACAGATAAGTATTGAGGAACCTCAAATGGTAAAGTCTTTAATGAAAATTCTCTTTGCCTATATTGAGGTCATAGTCAGCCTCCTGTTGCTTGAATGTTTATTTAGAAAGTTTTTTTTTTAATCTCCTCTGATTTGTTTCAGAGGTATGTTTAACTGTAAGCACATCGAATCCAGTACCACTTCAGAGGTCTTGACTATTTTGGCTCACTTTTGCTAACCTATCGTAGAACTTCTGAGCTAAGGCCCCAGACTCTTTATAGAAGGGAAAGATTTTAACAATTCTTCTGGTCTAGAGACATTCAGATCTAGAAGTTTGGAGAATTAAAAGTTATTAGCTTCTAAGAAAGCATCGCATTATTCTTTATTTAGCTAGAAGAATTATGAGAAGCATTGACAAGAGGAGACTTTTGTAGAGAAATATGGACAATTGGTGACAGGAGTTTGTTTCAGATATAAGGCTTCCTTTTCATCCACCATTGGCAAAATACTATGGGAGCCAAAGCGATCTGGAACATATTCCCCGTGAATGGGAAGTGTGTCTCTCCGTGTACAGAAATCCACATTTATGTAAAACAAGTGATGGCATGATGATCAATTCCTTTACAAAGGATTTGCAAAATGATATCCTTAAATAGCAGCCTCCTTTAGTTCCTGAAAATATGATTCCATATACATAAAAATTCTGACCAAACTTCATTTTTAGGATAATATATCATACTTAGAAGTGTATGGAATCTTTTCACAAACGCCATGGATCCTGTAATGTTAGAGTTACCGTAAATGGTTGAACGACTAGAGGCTGAGATGCTTCTGTGTTGAGACAGACAGAACTCTGTCTGTCCATCCGACCTGTCTGTCCCTTAGCCTTCTAGAAGCTTGCTGGGGTAAGATTTGTCAGGACAGCACTGGCTCACAAGCTCTCCTCCCAAGATGGCCTGCTCTTTCTATGTGGTGCCTGGCACCCTACCCTCAGAGCATGGCAGCCTTGGTTGTGAACATCTCAACTCCACAGGCCAGAGTTCTCTTAGTCATTTGATGCAACTTACATTCTTCTTTTTAAAAAGAGCATTCTTAATGGGATATCTTTTCTTTTTAAGTAACCAGCATTTTAAATATAATAGTTTTTGAATCATTATGGAGAACAATTTTCTCAGATACTTACAAAAAAATCAAGGAATGTATTCATCCATTCCTTTTCCTATAGTGTGGCAGGCATTGTTTTCATCCTGGCTGATACAAAGATAGAAAAGACAGCTCTTGCCCTTGAGGAACTCATATGGAGGAGACCAATATATAAAGAGACAAAGTACAGTACTGTTTAATGTATATTCTAAGTAGAGACTAATTACATAGTCAGGAAGATATTGATATAATTTTATTTATTTATTTATTCACTTATTCACAAATAATAATAGAAGGTCTGCAATGCGCTTAGTGCTTGAGATATAAAAGATAGGTGAGATACAATTTTTTAAAAGGAATTCTCAGACTTTAAAGTTTTTAATTAAAGTACTCAAGCATCTTGGCCTTTAAACTCTTAAAATATATTTCATGGACCCAAAGGAGTTTTAGTTTATGTGGATTATATCAACCGATATTTACCATATTCAAAATTAAAAGAGAAAAACATAAAATATTTATTCATTCATTTAAAATATTAATAAGCCAATTACATATTAACATAAACATGTTTTTTAGGAAAAAATAGTATTCAAAACAAAACAATTTAGTGAGAAGGATAGGATTGCCTTACATTTTTTTGCAAATGTCTTTAATATCTGGTTTAATAAAGAGTTAGTTTCTCATATCTGCTTTTGCATTTAATCTGTTGTGTATGTTTTTTTTTGGTTGAAATATATCAAGGAAGACTGGTCTCATACAGATTAGAGAGGTAATCACATTTTAATAGCCTTTTTACATAGTTATAGATACTCCTCTTTGTTAATATACTAAAACGCCACAAGTGATAGTGTCTTAAATATTAGTTGCAGTGGAGAATCTGAAACCAGATAAATGAACTTATATCATTACACTAAAATCCATTTATCCACCTTGTTCTTTGAATGGATCTTTAACTCCTACATGATTTTGTAACCTCATGTATTAATCATTTGAAAAGTATTGGTTCACTGTTTTACCCACCACTGCTTTTCCATCATCATGCTAATGTCAACACAGTTAAAAAGGCAAATATGCCTTAATATTATTATGATGTTGCAGGATCCCCTGAAAGGGTCTTGAAGACTGTCAGCAGTCTTTGGACCGCACTTTGAGAACCACTAGTCTATTGGGTGGAGGAAACAGAGGGTAAGAGTCCAATTTGGGATCAGGTTGTCTAGGTTCAAGCACAGCCCTGCTACTTACTCTCAGTGTGGCCTGGGGCAGGCTCCTTAACTTCTCTAAGCTTTGGCTTCTTTATCCATAAAATGGGATTACAAACAGGTCCTACTTTATGCAGTTGTGGTGAAGATTAAAATTAAGTGAGATAATGCTCACATCGTATGTTGACAATTATGATTATGATAATGATTACTTAGACAATTGTAACATAGTGTGAGACATGCTAGAATAGAGGCAGGGTGCCCAGCAGTGATGGGATCAGGAGAGGCTTGTGGATGAGATGAGGCCGGGCAGAGTCCTGACAATCAGCTGCAGCTGGGGGACTACCAGTGCCCTCTCTTCGTGCTTTTCTTCTTCCATTTTCTATTTCTGCAGGGCGGTCCCTTCATCTATTCAATCTCCCAAACCAGAACCCTGGAAGAGTTTGTTGAGGAAGCCAGGAGCAGAGAAATTCAAAAGAAAGGGAGTGATGAACAGTGCCAAGAGCTATGGAACATAAAATGAATGAGTTTGTCATAGGTAGACAGCATAGAGCCCATAACACACATTACCCCAGTGTATCTATTCTGCATTTAGTAAAAGGATTTTATTATAGCGCCTTTCACCCAAGGAAGAAACTGAGGTTAAAGGGGGTTAAGTAACTTGTAACACCTATTAATTTACAGATCCAAGTTTTGAATTAATTCCCACATGGTTACAAAGCTCTTACTCTTTCCACAACACCATCCAGTAGCTTTATAAAAACATGAGCTCCAGATTCAAATTTCATTTTACAAACACAAATTTCATGGTTCAAGCCATCCTTTCTTGCATATAAAGAAACTTTTACAGTATTTGATACTTTATGCCATCTTTGACCTTTATTTTACTTATTAACAAATAAGTGTATTGAAGAACAAAGTAATACAGTTGCATTTTGAAGTCATTCTATAGAATTCAGATTTTTATGTAAGTCAGACTAATTTTATCATTTGCTAACTTGAGGTAGTGAAGCTTTAATTGCCAGTGCTCCATAATCCCAAATAATCTTGGTTTACAATTGGGTAATACCCCAATATGGCTATAAAGATGCCTTTCTTAGGACTTGGTGAAACAGATTGAGTCACTGAGACATTTTTAAGGAACACAAAACAGGTGTAGGAGTGACATTTTGTGAGAATTTCTCATTTGATCTTGGAATGGAGCTAGGGTGTCTGGATGGTCTTCCTGAGGTCTCTGGATCAGCTGTTCTCTGAGAACCTGAATTCGGGCTTCCAGAACAGCACCTGGCTAGCAGAAACCCCACTTCTCCGGACCTAAGAACCTGAGGTTGAGCAGAGGTGACATGTGTCCATGGGCCTTGATTCTGTGAGGGTGGGGTGGAGTCAGGGTCAGATTGGAGTCTTGTTATTTCCTTAGAGTTGGTGCATAATAACTGTGGGGTAGCTATATTTTCCGGACAACTGCTGAGGAAAATGATTTGCCAGTCTTTATATTTCCTTAAGTCAATTTGAGTTTCTCTTTGTAAATCTTCAAAGGAAACTTACTACCTCTGTTTAATTTCAATCATGCATTTTCATAATTATTTTGTTGTCAGAGAGAAAACATTGTATGGCTTAAAACTTTGGAAGGACCAATAATAAAAAGCATTGTTGTCCATTTTCCAACAGAACATGTCTGAGGAACTCCCTGAAGCTACAAGTATTTTACAGATTGAACAAGAGGATATGTTGGAATGGGGAACCTCAGAAGCAGAAAATATGGTATATAAACTTCAGGAAACTGTGGAATTTCATTCAGCAGATGAACCAAGTAAACCTTGGGAAGATGAACAGCCCACATGTGATTCAAAAGTGGCCAAACAGGTGTCTTTAAAGGTAAATACTACTTATCTTAAAAACAGATTTATGAGAGTTGAGGATGTTGCAGGTGTGAAGAAATGGCCCAGGCAGGGACCAAGGAATGTTGGGGGAGTTCACCCTGGAAAAATGGCCTCAGATGTGCCAATTGTCCATTTGGGAAAATGGGACATCTTCTCTTTTGAAGGCTTTGAGTCTCAAATTTAATTGCAACTTTGCAAAGAGAAGATGGGTTTTTGAGGGAAGGAATCTCAGGGCATTCAGAAATTGACCCCAAGAGCCTTCCCCTTCCCACCAATGACCATCGTGTTCCTACTTTGCTTCACCCAAGTCAACTGGTCATTACTAGTTCTTTAACTTTTGCCCACAACTCCCAACTCTGAAACCTTGGATTTATCTGTTACCTTCCATGCCCCTTGCCTTTCACACATAATCGGTCGCCAAGGCCTAGATTCCTCTTAATCATTATTGCTTATAATTTTTTTCTTCTTTTTTCCAGTTGCTCTCATTCTTGTTTGGGCCCTGGTGACCTTATGCCTGGATTAGTGCAGTAGTCTCCTGGTTTTTCTTCATTTCTCAATCTCTACTTCCTTAGTTTCACTCTATATGACAGTAGCATATTGATCTTCTGGGAATAATAAGTAATAAGGAAGATCCTCAAGTAATAGTTGGCTGGAGAAAATCCAACACTGCTGTCGGGGAAAAGGGCCTTATGCTGTGACTGGTAACTGACTCCTTCAGAAGTCATGCTTCTTTCTAAAGCACATGCTTGGGTGTATGAAGTGAAGCCTGCCAATGCTGAGTGAACCCACTCGTTGCTAACTACCCAGGTGAACCCTGTGTCAGTCTAAAACCTTCTAGTTGTGGAGACCTTAGTATCTTTAAAGACTATGACATCTTGATGAAAACGTGTTAGGCTGGTGGGCATAGGCAGTGTTTTTATCTTTCCTTCTAACTGGACATTGGGACTTTGGAAATAAAATGTGGGCACGAGAGGCAAATAGTTAGCTGTTAATGTATCAAAGAATAAAGTGGATTTTCTGGGCAGTGGTGTAACTACCATGGCCTGTCAGGAATTCAAATCCCTCATTGGAAAAGTTAATGTTAATTCTTTTGTCTTGTTGTGGTTATTAAATTTTATTAAGAAGTTATGCAAAATTATTTAGTTTTGGTAAAAAGAGGTAGTCCTTTCCTAAGGTAACTAGAATTTATTTAGTGTTGACTATGTGTCACTTTGCTAATTGTTTTACACATATTATCTTATTTTTTTCTAATAACAACCCTACTGTTATCCTCATTTTATAGATGAAACAGCTGAGTCATAAAGGAGGTCAATAATTTGCCCAAGTACAAACATCTGAGAGGCAGGACTTGCACTGAGGTGGTCTAATTCTGGAATCTTTACTCTTTACTGCTTTGCAACACTGCCCTTTCATAACAACAATGAGCAGGCGTCTGGCTGAGTACAAGAACACTGACCCTCAGTAGCAAAAATGACTAGGGATGGAGTGTCCCCATGAAACTAGGAGGGGTGGCTTGGCGAGAGAGACTTGGAGAATGGATTAAGGGAGCTCTAAACTGAAAGCAGAAGTGTTTCAAGGGGAGGAAAAGAGAATGCCTGATAAGACATTATGGTTTATTGTGAGCTATCATGGGACACGGCATACCTAGATGCCAGAGAAAATAACATTGGAAGTATCCCTGTGACTCATCCCACCACGTCTTCACTCAGTATCTTGTTATTTATTTGTTTGTGTTAACATCTCAAGGTGTTATTGTCTATGAACTTTGGACATTTGAGGCCATAAAGTTAGTCTCTAGCATCTCTGGCACAGGAATGGGGAACAATATGCTCCAGCAAGGCAGGCCAGATTAGGGGACAAGAAGACCTCTCTCTCTCTCTCTCTCTCTCTCTCTCTCTCTCTCTCTTTTTAACATTTCCTTTGGCAAAGCTCATAGCTAATAAAAATAGCACGGAGGTGTGATAAAGGAGCAGCGCATGACTTCCGCTGCTCACATATATACCAAGAGGTCTCGTTCAGCTAAAAAGTAGAGAATTTGATCAATCCATACTTTATTGACCATTTCTACTCTTACCAGCTCGTTAGTATAGGAGAGGTTATTAGGACTGTGGTCTAAGTCATGACCAACAAAAAGAGAAATTAGATAATGGAGACTCTGTGAAGAAAAAATGACTGACCCAAGAGCTCGTGAGAAAATTGTTGACCGTTTTTAGAGGGAAAAAGGTCAAAAGTCTGTAAAAAAATATAGATGTTACATTTATTTTGAGATTCTAAATGGAAAGAAGTTTAAGAGATGTGGGATACCCTAGGTCCTCCAAAATTCTCACAAAACAATTATAAGTGATCTATTGCATTCAGTTTTAAAAATATACAAAAGATGAAAGAAGAAACACATATCCATAGATAAACATAAAAGTGGCATGTGGCTATAACAATTACATCAAGAAGGCTAAGATCCAGAATGGGTTGAGACCTGTGAATAATGCTAAGAATAAAAAAGTTTTTTTTGTTTTTTTTTTTCACTTCATGTTAGTTTTGGAGCAAAGAGAGAAAAAAAGAAAGGATAACCCTGTCATTTGGGATGAATAGTGTGATGACAACATATGACAGAGCTGCCTTAACTTAGTTTTAGAAAAAGGTTGAAGTTTTAAATAAACAGAAATATGACAAAAAGAAAAGGAAGCTGATAAACTTCTACTTCGCTTCTTTTAAATCTGACAAGGGGGAATGATCTTTAGTATAGAAAGAAGAGAAAAAGAGTTGCTAAAAGAAACTTGAAACCCGAGATTGGTAAAAGATCTTGAGTTAATTTAGATACCTGAGCCTGTTGGCTTACCTAGAGAGGCTTAATGTTGAGCCCCTGTGGGCCGCGGGCTTGGAGGAGCTGCCGGGGGACAGGTGGTAGAGGCCTGGAAACTGGCAATGGCAAACCTGAGTTTTATTTTTTTAAGGGTAAGGGTTATGGTTTCTGTAGTGTATGATTAATCACAGAGAAAACTCTGGAGTGGTTAAGTTCATCATTAAAAAAATTGGGTTCGAACCCTTGTAAGAGGAAGCAGTAATCAGTTGGAACCAGCATGGCTTCCCTCAGGGACAAGCCATGAAAGACCAACCTTGTTTCATTTCCTAGAATTATTAGACTGAACATCAGAAAAGAGTCAGACTTGGAAGGAAACACAAGAATATCATGCAGAAGAGCCTGGCCTACAGGAAAACGCAATAAACATTAGTTGTTGTTATTATCCTTTGTATTTCAGCCATCCTCTTATGACAGTCTCCCAATGACAATTCTGTAGACAAGGCTGTGGTCAGGCGAACTGCTAGATGGATTTGTAATTAGTTTTGCAAAGGTTGCACAATTCGCCATGAAAATCCTTAGTGGACTGCTATAGGGCGGTGTCCAGTTCAGCATATTTACTAATAATTTGGATGAGACTATGGAGGATTTACTCATTGGATTTGCAGCTAACATCCAAAATATGACATAAGATATGATTGGGAAGATCACAGATGAAACTTAATTAGGGTAAATGTATGTAGGGTTCTGGCCTGGGGTCTGCAAACTAAATGCATAGATATGGGATGATATGACTTAGGGCAAATATGAAAAAGACTTCAAGGTTTTGGGCTATATTTAATGATAGGAAAACAAGTGCAATCATAGTTTGGATTGATTGACAAATAACATAAAAGAGGATCATCTTTCCTTGGATTGATCTGATCAGATCACACCCCAACTACTGTGCTCAGATATGGGTAACCAATCCCAGGAGAGACACTGACAAATTAGAGACTGGAAGAGAGCATTCAAGATGACAAAGCCCAGTACTTCAAAATTATGTTATGTAAGGTAGAGTTGCAGGAACTGGGGATGTTTATCTGAGGAGGGGGTCAGGCCTGGGGACTCAACTATATTCAAATATTTGACTGTGTCAAATAGAAGAGAGATAAATTGTGAGATTTGAATTGAGAACAGTGGATGAAAGTCATTTGGCTCTCTAATAAACAAACAAAAATTCTAATAACTGGAAAAGTTTCAAAGAGAAAGGCTGCCTTTGGATGGATCCAAATCCTGTGTTTCTGATCATGTTCAAGCCAGGATTCCCCACCATTTTGTGGGGAAACTAGAGGAAATTGAAACATTAACTGCATGGTGAGATGGAATGGTCTGTACCCTGAGCTTTCCTTATATTACTTCTTACCCAAGAAATTTCAGTAGCTCTTTTATTACTACTGCACTGAACACAAACCATCCACCTAATTTATAAGAATCTTCCTTTTTGTGGCCTCCTTCAACCTATTCAACCATATCTCCATCCTTTCCCCACAGAAAGCCTCCCTGCTTTCTTTCTTAAATCTAGTATGAAAAAAAATAGACCAACCCATGGAGAAAAATATTTCAGATGAACTATTACCATAAATTCTACACATTTTCTAGGAAAACAATACTCCTAATATCTATAATGATTAAAAGGCAGTTATTTAAGAGACAGACAAGCATTTGATGTTTCCCAAGCAGTAGAAATAGAAAACAGTACAATAAGAAAGTACAAATTGAAAAACATTGCTGAAAATAGTTATATAAAGCATTAAAATTGATTTTGGCTTGTACTTGCAACCACCAGTGATGCCAAACTTCTTTTTTTAATAATTTTTTATTTTTCAATTACAGTTGACATATTATATTAGTTATAGGTATACAACATAGTGATTAGACATTTATATAACTTATGAAGTGATCACCCCAATAAATGTAGTACCCATCTGACACCAGAGTTATTACAATATTACTGACTATATTCCTTATGCTATACTTTGCATCCCATGACTATTTTGTGACTACCAATTTATATCTCTTAATCTCTTCCCCTTTTTCACCCTTCCACCCAAGCACCCTCCCATCTGGCAACCATCAAAATGTTCTCTGTTTCTATGGGTTTGTTTTGTTTGTTCATTTATTTTGTTTTTTATGATTTCATATGTAAGTGAAATCATATGGTATTTGTTTTTCTCTGTCTGACTTATTTTACTTAGCACAGTACCTTCTAGGTCCAACCATGTTGTTGCAGATGGCAAGATTTCATTCTTTTCTATGGCTGAGTAATGTTCCATTGTATATATGCAACACCTCTTCTTTATCCATTCTTCTATTGATGGACACTTTGGTTGCTTCCATATCTTGGCTACTGTAAATAATGCTGCAATGAACATATGGGTGCATATGTCTTTTCAAATTGGTGTTTTGGGTTTCTTCAGATAAATACCCAAAAGTGGAATTGCTTCTTTGTCTCTTGTTTTTCCTTTCTTTTTTATTTAATTAAAGTTTATTGGGATGATGATTGTTAGTAAAGTTACATAAGTTTCAAGTGTATAACACTGTAATACATCATCTATAGATCACATTGTGTGTTCACCACCCAGACTCAGTTCTCCTTCCATCACCATATATTTGATCCCTTTTACCCTCATCTACCACCTTCTGCCCCCCTAACCCTCTGGTAGCCACTAAACTGTTGTCTATGTCTATGAGTTTTTGTCTCTTATTATAGCCTTTGTTTCAAAGTCTATTCTTCTGGTATAAGTATTGTTACCACAGCTTGTTTTTTTCTATTTTCATGAAATATCTTTTTACCATCCCTTTACTTTTAGTCTGTTTGTATCTTTCGACTGAAGTGAGTCTCTTGTAGGCAGCATATGTAAGGGTCTTGTTTTCTTATCCTTTCAGTCACCCTGTGGTTTTTTGTTTGTTTGTTTGTTTGTTTGTTTTAGCTGAGCCATCCTGCCACCTGTTGGCAGCTCAGCGGCTGCTCAGCTCGGGCCGGGACTCGTACCGCTGTTGCTCAGAGCTCAAACTCTTGAGCGAGCTCTTAACCAACTGAGCCACTCGGCCGGCCCCACCCTGTGGCTTTTGATTGGAGCATTTAATCCATTTACATTGACAGCAATTGTTGATCAATATTGCCATTTTATTATTGCCATAATTATTATTGCAATTTTATTATTCATATTTTTAATCTTTTGTTCCGCCTGAAAAACAACCCTCTTAACATTCCTTGTAATACTGTTTGGTGGTGATAGACTCCATTAGCTTTGTCTTATCTGGGAAGCTCTTTATCTGTCCTTCGATTCTAAATGATACCTTTGCCAGGTATAGTACCCTTGGTTGTATGTAGGTCCTTGGTTTCATTACTTTGAATATTATATGCCAATCTCTTCTGGCCTGAAAACTTTCTATTGAGACATCAGCTGATAGTCTTAGGGGAGCCTCCTTGTAGGTAACTCACTGCTTTTCCTGTGCTGCTTTTAGGATTCTTTCTTTGTGTTAAAACTTTAGCATTTTAATTACGGTATGTCCTATTGTGAACCTGTTTGGGTTCATCTTTTTTGGGACTCTGTGCTTCTTGGGCTTGTATGTCTATTTCCTTTGCCAGGTTAGGGAAGTTTTCCATTATTATTTCTTTAAATAGGTTTTCAACTCCTTGCTCTCTCTCTTCTCCTTCTGGTACCTCTATGATATGAATCTTGGTACCCTTGATATTGTCCCTGAGGCCTGTTGAACTATCCTCATTTTTTTGGATTCAGTTTTCTTTTTGCTGTTCTGATTGGGTGTTTTCTGCTACCTTATCTTCCAAGTCTCTCATTTGATCATCTGCTTCATCTAATGTACTGTTGAGTCCCTCTAATGTATTCTTCATTTTAGTTATTATATTCTTCATTTTTGATTGGTGCTGCTTTTTATGTTTATGTGTCCATATTTATGTTTCCTATCTCTTTGCTGAAGTTCTCCTTGAGATCAGTGAGTCTCCTTATAACCAGTGTTTGGAACTCTGCATCTGGTAAATTGCTTGTCTCCATTTTGTTTAGTTATTTTTCTGGACCTTTGTTCTGTTCTTTTATTTTGGACATTTTTCTTTGTCTCCTCATTTCGGCTGCCTCCCTGTATTTCTATGTATTAGGTAGAGCCTCTATGTTTCCTGGTCTCAGTACAGTGGCCTTATGTAGTAGGTGTTCTGTGTTGCCCAGTGGCACAGTCACCCGACCAAGGTGCTCTGGGTTCATTGTGTGGGCTGTGTGTGCCCTGTTGTTGTAGTTGAGGCTTGATTGCTATTGGCACAACAATGGGAGGGATTGACCCCCTAGCTGACTTGTTGTGAGGACTGGCCATGACTACAGTAGAGGAACTGTTGTACCAGGGCTGACCTTAAAGAGTAGGATTCACTTTAGCGGGGAACTGCTGCCTGCCCAGCCTGACCTTTGTGTATGTCCTTTGTGGAGATGGTCAGGTGGTGCTCTGGTGTGGGCTGAAGCTGGCCATCAGGTGTGTTGGTTCTGGGGCCTGTTGGGAAGAGTGTGGTGCAAGGGAAGTTCAGCTGTTGCCTGTGTTCCACTCAGAGCCAATTGGTATGAGCTACTAAAAGATCTGCAAATGGTTGCCACTTGTGCTGGGCTTGAAGGTGCCTGGGAAAAGCTAAGCTGCAAATTGAGGCCAGCTGCCTCTAGTGCCAGGCTTAGGGATGTTTAGCCAGAGGAATAGGGCACACCATGAGTCTTGTTTGAAGTTTGTGAACCTTTGAGACATTTCAGGAAAGTCAGCAGCATGAGCTAAGACAGGCTGTTTGTATGGAAAAGCCACTGGAAGTGGCTTGAGTGGGCCTACTACTTGGGTGGGATGGGGTCTCAGGCAGTCACCAAGGTGGGGTGAACTGTGTTAGCCAGATTGATGGAGACTCAGATATGGTGCCTGCTTGCACCTGTGTGTGCAGGCAGGGTAGAGGGAGGGCTCAAAAAGGAATAATTGCTCTTCCAGCATTCCTGTCTGGAGAAAGTTCCCCCTCCAGCGCTTGCCCTAAAGCCAGACAATTCAGTTCCTTCCTGTTTGTCCCTGACACCTTTAGAGCTGCTGCTCCAGTGCTGGAGCTTAGAGCGAATGAGTCCATCAGCAGTAAGCCTGTGTGTGGGCCCTATAAGAGCAGTGCCTGGGGCTCCAACTTTCCTCCGTATCACTCAGCCATAGTTTTTGCTGGTTTTCACAGCCAGAAGTTATGGGAATTTCTCTTCCCAGCACTGGAACCCCTAGGCTGGGGAGCCTGGTGTGGATCCCTCGCTTCTTAGTGGGGGACCTCCACAGCCGAGAGATCCCTCCAGATTTTTATCCCTGCCACATGTGGCTGTTGGATCAGCTTGTTCCACATCTCCACCCTTTCCACCAGTTTCCATGTGGCTTCTTCTGTAGATCCTTAGTTGTAGGACTTCTGTTCAGCTAGACTTCAGGTGATTCTCAGTGATAGGTGTTCTGTAGTTTAGTTGTAATTTTGATGTGCTTGTGGGAGAAGGCAAGCACAGCATTTATCTACTCTGCTATCTTTACCAGACCCGCATGCCAAACTTTGAGACTAAGGGTAAATCCTATTAAAAATACCAATCAAGAAGAGTATATATCTATGGAGGAAAAAATTTTTTATTTCTTCTGTAATAGTTTTAAACAAACAAACAAACACATATAAATAAATGTAGTATTAATATTTTTATTGCTATGAATGTGTATATGTAAAAATTTAAAAAGGATTTTAGAGGAAAATATTAACTCACCTTTAGGGTTTATATTTTGTTATAAAATATACATAAAAATTAAAAGTTTAAATATAAGATGGACTATAAATATGAAATATCTAATTCTCATGCTACAACTTTCCTTAACAGCACAGTTTTATATTTTTTTTAAAGGTGAAATCATCAGAATCGTTGCAGATCAGAGGAAAAGAAGTTGAGCGAACACAAAAGAGTAAATTAGGAATTCCACAAAAAAGAAAGCCTACAAAACATCTGCGGGATCAAAAACTACCTAAAAAAAAGTAACTTAATTTTACTGTCTGAAAAGAGGTTATATAATAACATTGATACCTGAAGATGCATTTTTAAAGGAAAATTAAATGTTTTAGAAATTCATATATGAGATCTAAGTTAAACCTTTTCACAGAAGAGTTGGTGGCAGATAGTACAGTTAGGATATGTATACTGGACTCCATACGTCTTTCTATTCCTATTTTTGACCAAGGTACTTAGTTTAATGACATAACAATAGCTAGCATAAAAATAGCTCTTTGAGGGCCGGCTGAGTGCTTAGGAGTTGGCTTGGGACGCCAGCTCTGAGCAGCAGGGCCCTGGTTCGGATCCCACATGAGGGCCAGTAACTCTGTGCTCTCTACAGCTAAGATGGTGAACAACAGCTCTACCTGGAGCTGGGCTGCCATGAGTCACTGGCGATGGCGTAGGCTGCAAGTGGGGCTGACCAGCAGTGGACATGAGCTCGAGCTGCCAAGAGCCGCCGTGAGGGGCCGTCCAATGGCCGCGAGTGACTGCCTCACCCAGGAAGAGCACAATGATAATACCAACATGGGCCAGTGAAGCGACGTCCTCCACAACTAGACTGAAGAACAAAAAGGGCAGCAACTTGTCTGTTCCCCTTCCTAATTCCCCAGCACTGTTCCCCTCTCCCAATTCCCCAGTAAAATCTTTAAAAAAAAAAATAGCTCTTTGTGAGGCTAAAGAAAACTAAATGTTGACATGTTAGAGTTGAATTTTTTCAGTCACTGTAATGTCTAATTAGGATTAACTGCTTATTATATTGGTTACTTTTGTTATTATAAAATAAAATAAAAGACAACCCAACACAAAATGTCCATAGGCCAATCGAATTGTTTATTTAGATGGCTTTTTTTCTCTACTATCATTTCATGTTTCATCTCCTCCCACCACATTTTTAATGGAGTTTCTTATTATACAGGAGTGTAACCACAATTTTGAATAATAGTGTGTAAATGCAGTTTACATGTATGGTTTTATCTTTTGTCATTCATCTTGTTGAAACAGATTTTCTCCTTATTTCACCACTAGGTTTTTATGGGTTGTTTTAGTCTAGATTCTTCTTCATTTAACTCTTTATGGGGGCTTAAAGAAGTTTTAATTATTAGCTTTTGTTGTTGCTTAGGGCACTGAAAGGTGTGCTGGACCTGGAAGACAGCCTTTTTATGGCCAGCCTAAACTTTGTAAATGGATATTACTCACAATTTAGTAGCTGAGAATAGACTCATGGGAAAAGAATTCCAAAGTTTATGAAAGAGTCAAATTGGCATTTAAGTGACCCTGTACATGCCATTGCTTATCTACATTGCTTTAAGCTCATTTAGTTAGCAAGATTATGTATTAAAACAAATAGTGACAGCAGACAACAAGTATTTTACCTTCAATAAATAGTTACTGTCAGATTATCAATGAAGCAGAAACTTCTTGATTTTTTCCCCCCAAAACCTTGCATTTAGTGCATTAAGCAAAGTAGCATGGCCACACACAGAGCCAGAGTCTTTTCTTTTTTATGTCTTGGTGTTTCAAAGAATGACAAATAGTCCTGTTTAAGGAGAGTATGCTATAAAAACACACAGCCTTTCTTGAGCATGCCAAAAATATTTGTAGATCTTTTTGATATATATAGTACTGTGTTAATTCATTAAAACTGAAATTAGAAACTTTCATTAGAAATAAGAATGACATGCAGAGGAATAAAAATCTGATATTTAAAAAAATTATAAAAGACAATTTTGGGAAAATGTTTCTGAAAATCTTTTATTCCTTGTTCCTGTTTCTTTGATCAATTTTTTTTTTTTACCAAACTTTTCTCATCTGTGAGTAGGCCCCAGTATGAAATGTTTTCTTGAGACTTGAGCCATCTTTTGATAACATAGTGTTATTTAGCTCAATAACCAAGGGAGATTCACTTACAGATTTATGTTATTAGAGTATGTTGGGAACATAGGAATTCAGATTGGTTGTGGAGCTTTTTTAAGGAAATAAAAAAAAATGTAATCTCGTGTACATTCCACTAGCCAGGACCTGTCCAAAACAGAATGATGAGTAGATGAGTTTGACATCAGAACTTACCTTTTTCTCTCCTCATTTTTTTCAGTGCTTTCTTAGGATCCCTACTTCCTGGACACCCATTTTTAACCCTCCAGTTAGGCCTCTCTGTCTCAGGCATTTCCAAATGCATTCGATTTACCTCTCTTCTCCTCCTCCACTCAAACATGTTCAAATTTCATGTCCTCTTCTTTTTGGGTCCTGTGCTGTTTTGGAAATGGCACAAACCACTCTCTGTTAATGATTAATGTACATATCATGCATAGCAACTTGTTAGGTGCTGTGTGATGAAAAATTTTAAAAACAGCAATAAAAATAGAACAAGCATTTCTTGAACGTTTCATAGATCAGGGACTTATTGTTACCAATTCTTAGAAAGGCAAAAGTTAGGAATTTTTATTCTCATTTTACAGAAGATCTTCACAGACGTCAGTGATATAGTTTGCAACTGTTAGAACTGAGATTCTGATCCAGGCCCCACCAACTCCAGAATCTATTTTCTTTATACTATGCTACTATCCAGACACATAGAGCAATTGGTGGACAGACTTGCATTAATTAACCCATTAGATAAAAGGTCAGAATGGATAGCACAAGGATAGGGCAATGTATGAAAAGAGATATTTGTAAAAAAGAAGAAAAAAACACATTTTGCAGAGAAGTTATTCTTGGAGATATTGTTTGAAGGATGTTTAGGTGTGGACAAAAGGACAGGCAACATTCCATCCATAACTGAAGGAACCAACAGGTCTCGCTGGCCCTGTGAATTTTCCTGGAGACTGATAATAACACTAACATCTGCCATGTGAGAAACGCTATTTTAAATGCATTCACTCCTTTTCTTCTTAAAATAGTTTTATCTAGAGTGTGCTAGTGTTGTTATTCCCAATTTACTGAGGCATAAAGAACTTAATTGACTTGCTTGTGACCATGTGATAATTTTAAACAGGATTCAGACAGCAACAGTCTGACTCAACTACACTACACTCTTAACCGCTATGTTAGAAGTAGGGTCAGATGCTAGGAGCCTTAAAACTTAGAGAGAGGAAGTTAGATGAATGTAGCAAGTAACAAAGAGTCATTGTGCTGGGTAAAGGAGTATTTAAAGATCAATGTGATAGGATTTTGCAGGAGATACTGGAGAGGGGAGGAGACAGAGGGTACAGGGCTCAATCCAACGTGCCTTAGACCCTTGCTCTTGCAGGCTGAAGTGATGAGGACCTTGACTGTGTTGGAAGAAAGGATGGAGAAGGAGCACCCCTGGGCAGCCCTGTGCAGGGGAGAAGCTCAGCTCTTCATTGGATGTGCGGGTGAAGGAAAGAGGACTTGAAGATAGCTCCAATGTTTTATACCTTGAAGATGAGGAATCTAGATGAAATTTGAGAGCTCTCAGCACAGAGGAAATAGCTGAAACACTGAAGTTGATTTTTCCAATGTAGAAAGAGAAGTTCAACCTTGGAAGCCAGACCCAGTTGAGGAGATGGAGAAAGAAAAGTCAGTAACTGAGTCCAGTTGTGTTGAATTTGAGAGGTAGATGAAGAGCTGGGATGGTGCAGGCTTAAAAAAACTCATGGAGAAGCAACTTCAAAAAGGATCATCAATATTATCAGCTGTGGCTTGAAGGTCATAGAGAACACAATCTAAATGCCTAAGGTTTATTTGATTTGATTTGATGAAAAGATCATTTGGTGAAGAGTATAACGTTAGTATAAAGGTGGGGATGAAGTAATACTGGATAAGGGCCACTTCCATCTCAGGGTCGTTAACAGGCATTGATGGGGAAATAATTGGTTTATAGTCAGGAGCATTGTGTTTAGGTCCTAAGAGCTACTCACTAACTTTGTGACTTATCCAAATAAGCCTGGTCTACTATGAGGGTAATACGACCTCCCATATAAGTTCATTGTGGGGGTTAGAGAGAATGTGCGTCAATCACCTAGCAGAGAGTCTGGAACATACTAGGTGCTCAAACAGTATTTGTTGATTGGATGGCAAATGACACTGTGGATGAAGAAAGCAGATCTTTACTTCTCTACTTTGGAGAGGCAAGTTCTAGCATAATGGGAAGGAAGATACTACATTAACTGAAAGAGACCCAGGGTTCCCCTGGTGCTAGTTGATGGACAATGTACTATATTGTTCTATGTCTTCAGTGACATTAGCATTTGAACAAAGTAGCAAAGGAGTAATGCAGAATGGCTGGATATGGTGTCATCGACTGAGTTACAGAATTCAAGAGAGAAGAGGTTTGGGATGGGATGATAATGAGTTTGCTTTTAGATCTGTTGCTTTTGGGGTATCTGTAAGACACATAGGTTGACATGTTCTCTAGGAAGTTGGATATATGACTTTGAAGATTCGGTCAATGGCCTGCCATTGTGATATTAACTTTGTTGTAAATCATTATTATATTATCATTTTAAATCTCATCTCCTACATACAGGCATCCTTGTTAGAGCCTCAACTAAACTGTCAATGTAAATGTATTTTATATCGAAAGACCACACAATGATAGAAGAAGCCCACTTTTCTTTTCTTTGCTGCAGAATCCCACAGGACTATGCCACCCCTACCCTTCATGACCTGTGCATCACTGTCCCAGCCCAGGAGCTGCCCATCGACTTGTGCCTGGCTTCTCGGGTGTATCACACGGCTGATAAGAAGGGCCACAGCGCTCTGCTTGAACTATTGGGAGACTCGTTCTTAGACGATCACTCTACAGAAGAAGAGCAAAGACATAGGTAAGAGTTCCACTGTTAATTCTGTTTTAAACTAGAGGTTCCAATTTTGAAGACTTGATTCTGTTCTTGGACACCAGAAAGGAGCAGTTTTTGTCTTTTTACATTTCTTCCCAGGACATCCACAGTTTAGTTCGGTGTTTTCATTTCCTGCCATTATTAACATGAATCATGCCCTATCATAATAAGGTAACTTTAGTGATTTATGGTTCCCAAAGGGTGTCACGTACATTGCCTCACTTGTTCTTCCTAACATCTCTGTGTGTATAGACGTGGAAATTGAGGCTTATAAAAGCCAAGCAACTTCGCCAGGCTCATACAACTGAGAGAACCACAGATTTGGAATTTGAAGCCAGTCTTTTAGGTTTCATTGTCATTGGGAATACTTGGATCCCAGGATCATGTACAAAAGTCATTGCCTCTGGAGTTTCTTTCATTTCTCCCTGTGCCTCACTTTCCTTTGAATCTGAGTAGTCTTTTATGGAGAGTGTATAATTTTTAGCATCCTCAAAAGAGAGGAGAAAAGGGAAGGGGACCAACATTTATTTAGCGGTAAGTATTCTTCTACCACTGTGCTGTGTGCTTTGCACCTTTCCTATTTAAATCTTCAACTGTAAGGGAGAAGTCATAATTTCCATTTTATTCATGAAGAAACTTTGGCTCCATAATATGAGGACTCTTGCTCAAGTTCTTAACTGCAGAGTTAATGATTAGAACCCACATGTATCTAACAGTTTTTCTCAAACTTTTTTTCATTATCACCTCCTTAAGGAGCCCTTCTAGATGTTTTCCCCCTAATCACCCTTTCCTATTATATTTTAATACCCCAGATATACTATACATCTGTTTATATTAATATAAAATAATATTTTCATAGTTTAAAAGATCACTTAATTACACTATCACAAAATTATTAGTAGTTTATCCAATCTTTTCATGGTATATTCTGAGCCTACTTCCTCAAATTGACTTTTGGTAAAAATTGTAAAACTTTATTGCCTTCTTTCATTGTTTAAAATCATCTGGTTTCCCTGTGTTTAGCAATCACAATAAGATTCAGTTTGAGTCTCTGAAGGAAGGTCATTCTCATGTTTATTTTCTATTTAGACAAAAAGATTTTTTTAGGACTTGTTGTTTATAATTTTATACATCTAAGTCTTTTAGTTTTAATCTGTCAAGTCAATGTTTGCTAAATTTTTGAAAAAAATCATATGTGAAGAATTTCAGAAATTTCAAAATTGCTCCAGTATCTCTGCCAGAAAGTAGCAGTTTCATATGTTATTTTTTGAAATGTGTATTAAAAAGCCTAAAACTGAAAGAGAGAGAGAAAAAGACATAAACATAGTCATAAAACTACTATTTTGAGTCATTTGTGTTAGAGATCTACAAGCAAAGCATCATTTTGAGGAGTTACAGCTTCTATTAGTCATGCAAAGTGTTAAAAATACTGGTTTCTTTCTAATTAAAAAAATTTTTTTCTTCAAGTAGATCTCACTTTCTTTTTCCAAGAGAGTCAATAAATGTTCTATTTGATGATGATAATTCTTGGCAATTTGTTCCTAAGTACCAAACAAGAAGTTAATTTAAGTACTGAATATTTAATTCTCTGGCATCCATCTCTTGAGGATTACCTTGCTAAACATAGCTTAACCTTTTCAAAATATATCTGTCTGATGAGCCTACAAGTTTGGAGAAATGTATAATTTTTTTTCTGCACTAATAGGTATTCTCAAGAAAGGTAATTGTAAACAGAAAATGAATACCCTTCCCCTTTGTGGCTTTTCCGTTTTTCTGTGCAATGAACAGCTAACTACAAAGCATAATAATACACTTTGTTGTATAGTTTTATAGTTTGTGTATAGTGTTGTATATGCTTTCCTAATTCTGCATATAGTAATTATTATTTGTGACAAACACCAGGGATATTTTAATGAAATAACATGGAAACATACTTAAGCTTATTTTAAATAGCAAGGTATTGTTCAAACTTAAGTTTATTTTCCTAAATAGGAATTCTGATGAGAACTATAAAAATATTCTATTTTGTTCATATTTTTGCTTTTCAAATTTCTGTATTGTAAGGAGAAGTTTATAGACATTTAGTTAGAATTCTTAGCGTGGTATTTTAGGTTTTAAAATAAGGGAAATCATTAAAAGTGTTTAAACAGCTAAATTGATGTTTGGTGAACAGCTTTCTGAACATCTCTTGTATATGCATGTGTTTAAACCATGCATGACATTCTATAGAAGGATCTTATTCACTCAAGGTGTTAACATTTAAATTATTTCATGTTACTCTCTAACTTAACCAAGCTGCAATGTAAAAAAAATTCCTAGGTGTGGAATTATTTATTAAACTTTTTGTTTTAAAATTTTTGATGCATATTAATGGACTTCTCTCCAGAAAAAGTATACCAACTTATACTCCTATCAACTATTTATGACACTATTCATTTCCTTTCACAGACTACTAATTGTCAATCTTCTATTTTTTAAATTTATTTCTATAAGGTTGAGTACATTTTTAGATGTTTCTTGACTATTTGTTTTTCTCCTTTTGAGAATTACCAATTCATGTTCTATTGAGTTGTCATTCATCTTTTTCTTATTGATTTATAAGTGATCTTTTTATATTAGATTTTAATAATTTGTCATATATTGTAGACTTTGTTTTACTTTGTTGTTTGCTTTTTAGTTTGTTTATGGTGTTTCATGCTATACAGAAGCTCTAGTTTTTATGTAGTAAAAATTACCCATCATTTTCTTTATGTGTTGTAGTCTTGTTGTCCCTCTTAGAGTTTTTCTACACTTAAATTGAAACGTATTTTTTCATTTTTCTTCTAGTAGTTTTATGGCTTTTAAAAAAAGGGTTAAATCTTTGATCCATCTGTAATTAATTTGACAAAAGGACTAAGCATTATTGTTTTTTCCCAAATGACTAGTCAATTGCATATCATTTATTCAGTTAACCTACTTTTCCTCCATAGTTTGAAATACCATCTTTGCATACCTTAAATTCCAGTGTGTTGTTGACTCTATTTATGGACTTACATTGTGTTTCACTGACTTGTCTATGTAACTTGTGTATTTTGTTGATCCACCATTAATAAAGAGAGAGTTGGCAAAAATGCTGTCCTACAAAAATTGGTTGACCTTCTCAAGTCAGGTAGCCCATAGAGCCAGCTTTCTGGTGGTAAGCAATGCTTAGGCTGTAGTCAGCAGACCTAACCCTCCTCTCAGCTTCAAATTACATTGAAATTCCTAGTCATGTTAAAAAAAATGTGGACAGGATGTTAGTTCTATACATTAAAACAATAGCAGTGACAACAATAATTATAAAACCAAAGGTTAAGTGTCAGAATTCAATATTTAATTTCATTTATTATTTTGATACAAAAATCATAAAAATACAACATTTTAGCAAATATGCAAGAAGATGCCAAGAAGAAAATTACACAAAATCTTGCCATCTAGAGATAATACTGTTACGTTCTTAAATATATGATTCCAGACTTTTCTGTATGCAAATAAATCATATAGAACAAAACTGGGATGCTATGTACATAATGTTTTGTAACCTGTTTTTAAAAACTTATTATGTTGTAATTATCTTTCCATGTCAAGGAATACAGATCTGAATAGTCACTTAAATCCATCGGCAAATTTTTTTTGTGTACCTACTATGTGGCAGGCATAGAGTTAGGCACTAGAGAAGCATCTACAAACAAGAGAAACATAATCCCTGCCCTCAGGGAACTTGGAGACTAGCAGAGAAGAAAGGTGGTGAATTCATTATTGTGAATATGATAATTAGTATGCAGGTGTGCAGGGAGCTATAGAAACATGGAAGAAGAGTTCCTCATTATCTTGGGAGGTTTGAGGAAATGATACTTAAATTGAAACCTGAAGAATGAGTAGAAGATAGCTAGGAGGAGGGAAAAGAACATTTTTAAGGGTCTTGATACTCAAAAGTATAGTCCATAGACTAGCAGCACCAACATCCTCTGGAAACTTGTTGGAAATGCAGATTGTTCTTATGCACATTGAAGTTTGACAATCCTTGCTGTGGACAACTGGACCTCATCTGAGAATTGGAAAGAAATCCAACATTAGAGAACAAGAGGAGCAGTGATGCAACTGAGGTTGGAGAGGAGGCAAGAGTCTGATCATGTAGGATTTAATAGATGCCCTGTATGTGTATGTTAGGGTGTGTGTGTGAGGGCTTAGGGGAAAGATTCTCATTCACAGTGTATTGCATTGGGAAGCCATCGGGTTTTTTTGAGGAAGAATGACATAATCAAATTTGTTTGAAGATATGACAGTCCTCATCTTGACTTTTCAGTAGCATTTGGCACAGTGGCATTCGCTATTCCTTACGCTTTTATTCCTTGACCTTTGGGACACATTCTTTCCTGGTTCTCTTCCTGCCTCCCAGGCTATGCCTTCTCAAGTCTCCCTTGCTGGTATCTCTTCATCCCTTGACTTCAAAGTGCCCAGAGTTTATCCTGGAACCTCTTTTTCTCCCCTACCTACACTCTCAAGGTGATCTTATCCAGCACCATGGCTTTAAATACCATCTATATGCTGATGACTATCATTTACTAAAATAAATGCAGAAGGATGTTCATTGTCCTTATAATAACTAAAAACTGGAAACAACTTAAGTGTTCATTGATGGAAGACTTTCTGGTACATCTAATGATGGGATGCATTGCAATCATGATAAAGAATGAGGTAGAGGCCGTCCGAGTGGCATATTGGTTAAGAGGTAGCTTGAGATGCCAGCTCTGAGCAGCAGGGCCCCGGTTCGGATCCCACATGAGGGCCAGTGATGCCGCGCCCTCTTACAGCTAAGATGGTGAACAAAAGCTTGACCTGGAGTTGTGCTGCCGTGAATGGCTGGCAACGGCATAGGCTGCAGGGGAGCTGCAGTGGGCTGCCGTAAGCTACCCTGAGTGGCTGGCAGCCTGCGTGAGTGGCCAGCAGCCTGCATGAGCTGCCAA